AAAAAAAAAAAAAAAAGTAAAGGGGTCTAGATACCCAAGATACCAAAAGGAAAGAAGGCCAAGGGAAAAAGGCAGTCATAGACCCTGTTTTTTTTTTTTTTTAACTTTTTTTATTGTTATTTTAATCACCATACATTACATCATTAGTTTTTGATGTAGTGTTCCATGATTCATAGACCCTGTTGTTCTGAAGATAAGAGACCAAGAAGTAAATCCTTTATTTGAGAAAGGCAAAGAACTCAGGCTTTGGTCAGAAATTCAGCCTAAAAGGGAATTTTCTACTTTTTCAGATGACCTTATTATAACTGTCTCATATAATAAAGATCTAGCCTCTGTAACTGTATAGTCCACCTTGCCCTTGGACCATCAAACAAGCTGATCTACAAGAGAGACCAGAGACAAAAGCCAGAAAAACAGACATTGTTGACCCAGAAGAAAGCTGCTGGCCAATGGGATTCCTCCTAACCTTCAAGTACATGTTAATACTGCTACTACCTAAGTGGAGAACAAGAATATTCAGTAAATGGTGACTGCACACAACAGGAGTCCCGCTGGTCTATTTTTCTTCTTGGCCACCTTGTCCATAAAATCAGGGTTTTCCTGCTAAATAATCAAGGCAAAGGTTAGAACAAGTCATTTCATCTAGTCCTGCACCAGCTTCACCTTCACAGCTTATCTGGAAAGACAGTGTGCACCAACTGCGTTGGCAGAGGTCATCAGAACTGATTACAGTGGTAACTGTGATGAGATCCGACACCACTGGGAGGCAAACTGGGAAAGAAGCAGGCCCACGAGCTTGCCACAGAACTAGTTTTAAATGTACTCTGTTAACTTCTCTGTCAATAAAGATAGAACATCCCCTTAAAACAAAGAGAAAAGCTATTGAGGCATTAGACCCAGGGGATAAAAGCTAGGATGTAACATCCTATCCTACCCCAAAAGTGATGAAATAAAATCACAAGAACAAGAACCTGTGGAAGATTTGAGACCTTACTAAAAATTAATGTTGTTTAATTAGAAAATGTTGGGAAATCTACTTTACGTTTTCACCAGCAGTCAGGAAGCAGCAATAAGCTTCTCATGATGAATTACTAACAGTAGTAGCTCTTTAGACCACGTGGAACTTCTGACTTTTGTCAGCATCATAAATCATTAAGAAAACCTTCTATAGACATTGTGGATGTTAGTGGATTATCGCTCGTGTTATAAGAGAAGCCTGTAGTGTTAGGATGATTTTAGCAGCAAATATATGTGTATATCAGATCCTCAAACGAACTCAAACTGGCTTTAAAAACAAAGAAATTTACCATGTCACATGAGGAACTGGGACACAAGATACTTCAAAGATTGGCTACTTTAGGGGCTCAACAATGTCTGAAGCATCCCTGTACTTTCTTTTTGGTTGATGCCACCCTCAGCACATTGCTTTCCGTCCTTACAATTATCCTCATGGTTCTCTCTGGTGGGTTATCCCCTTCATCTAACAACAGGTAGAAATTAACCGTTCTTTATTACTAGAAATGGTTTAAGTGACCTTCTCATGGAGCTTTGCCCCACACTGTTAGGCAGTTAGAAAGCAATCAGGCGAAAAAAGTAGCCTCAGCCATGATGTGTACAGAGTTAGTTTATTACAAGTAATCAAAATTGATAAAACTGGAAAAGTAAACAAATACTCTCTTTCAACAAAAATTAAATATGGATGCCGAAAATAACTACAATAACAGTGCCCAATAGTTAAACTCTCTCTTCAAATATTAACACTAAAGGTATACATCCTTTATCCTGGTAACTTTATTGAGTATTCAATTTTTCCTAAAGCCATATTACATTAATCACAATTTGCTTAAATTATTCTGATACTACATTTAAAACAATCATCTCTTAAATATTTAAATACCATTAGAGTGCAACTTCGATCATTCAGAGAAATTTCCACTTCAACTCAATGAAAAACATCCATATATTTACATATTTTACTCTTTTCTGAGTGGGTCACCTCCAGACCTCTTGGAATAGTTCACCCTTTTCTACGAAAGTGTATGCGATTCATAAGTTCTCTGAACTTCAGTATTAAGGAGTAGTTATTTATGTTGTCTTTCCATGTTTCATAAGTCCTTCTAAATTTGTCATAATAACCTTCTTTTTTCAAATTGAAATCTGATCCAATGTTTTTAAAATAACTGTCTTTTTTCCATATTTCTCTCCAGGAGCCTTTGAATTTTTCCAAATAACTTTCTTCAGATTCTTCCTTCCATATTCCTTCTCTTTTTTTTAAGGCTGTTAATTCGGCTTTAAGTAAGTTTCTGTGAATTGTCCAGTAGATTTTAGAATCATAATCTAGCCCTTTAACAAGAACAGTTTTGCCAAGGCCTCTTCTCAAAATTTCTTCATTCAGACTCACACTAAAAAATCTACCCTTGAATAAAAAATAACACAAACCAATTACTAAAGAAAATTGCACTATACCTGTAACATCTTCTTCACTTTAAAATTTATTTATTTACTTAAATTAAATCGTCATTCAGAAGGGCGCCTGGGTGGCCCAGTGGGTTAAGGGCCCAACTCTTGATTTTGGCTCAGCTCATGATCTCAGGGTCATGATACCGAGCCCCGCGGTGGGCTCTGTGCTCAGTGCACAGTGTGTGCGAGATTATCTCTCTCCCTCACCCTCTGCCCCTCCCTTTCCTCCACGCATTCTCTCTCTCTCCCTAAAATAAATACATGAATAAAATCCTTAAAAATAAATAAATAAATCAGGCATTCGGCAACTTATCCTTCAGAGAAAAGCCAAAAAACATAAAGCAAAGGGATCTCCAAGAGCTTAAAACAGCTAACGCTAAATCCAAGAATTTCATTACTAGAATAGATCCTTATTCGAAGTCAATTCCCTCTTTTATTTTTATTTTTTTAAGATTTTATTTATTTGAGAGAGAGAGCATGAGCAGGGGAAGGGGCAGAGAGAGAAGGAGACTCCCTGCTGAGCAGGGAGCCTAAAGCCAGGCTCATTCACAGGACCCTGAGATCATGACCTGAGCAGAGGGCAGTCGCTTAACCGACTGAGCCACCCAGACGCCTCTTAATTGCTTCTTTTGTAACATATCGTTTCTCCACAGACTCACTGGTCTTCTAACCCAAAGAGAAGTAGAAGTAGTAAAGTATAAAAAGTGTTTTTGGTTTGTTTGCTGTTTGGAGGGGGAAAGGAGCACACAGGATAGGCAAAACAACAGAAGGCCATAGAAAAAGAAACTAAAAAGTATACAAATGCAGATTGAACTGAATCATCACTGAACTGTTAGATTAGGCTTCAGAATTCCAGCATGTAAGAAGGTGCTGGCATGTAAATACATTTTTAAAAGACTTCCCACAAAATAATTAACATTAAAAATAGTCCTGGACTTTGAATCTTCATCCTTCAGGAAATTTCCTTCAAGGAAAACCTCACTTCCTAATCAAACTGCGTAAGTGGGATTTTTTCCCACTAATTTATAGCTCAGTCAGCGGACCTGAGACTCTTGATCTTGGAGTTGTGGGTCTGAGCCCCCTGTTGGGTGTACAGATTACTTAAAAATTTTTAAAAATCTTAAAATAAAGAAAAAAAAGAGATCCTGCTTAGCTGTTTATACAGTCCTTGTGGGATTTTAACCTAACAAGATTAATTTTAACAACATATTAATAATTTAATAGCTTTGTTAGTCAAGTACTTCACAGTTAAATTTTAAAAATGTGAAAACTCCAGGTTTCAAGTAGGAGACATTTTTTAGGACTTTCTGAAGGAACGAAGTAACCTTTTTTCCCTTAAATGCAGTAACTTTTGGTTATAATAATGAGTTAATAAATACAGTCTTAAAGGATTTATCATATTTTTCTCAATCTTTTAAATTTTAAGAGCTCATTCCCTTAAACCAAAATCAGAATAACTAAAATTCAATCTCACACATTAGTAAAATTCAACAGATGTAAATTACCACCGTGTGCATATACTGCATAGTTTGGTCACCTAGGAAGCAATATAAGCTAAAGTATATAAGGCGAAGTATGAGCTCAGGAGCCAGAAAGAGCTGGGTTGAATACAGGCTCTTCCACTTAGTTACCCTGAGTCCCATCTGTAAATGGGAATAAAAACAATGACTGCATAGGGTGGTTTTGAGGATAAATAAAATACACTTCTCAACTTAGAATTTTTTTTAATTTTTAAAAAATTTTTTAAATTTTTATTATTTATAATTTATTTTATTTATTTTTAAAGATTTTATTTAGCGGGCGCCTGGATGGCTCAGTCAGTTAAGCATCTGCCTGAGGCTCAGGTCATGATCCCAGAGTCCTGGGATGAGCTCCCTGTCAGGCTCCCAGCTCAGTGGGGAGCCTGCTTCTCCCTCTGTCCCTCCCCCTGCTGGCCCCTGCTCATCAAATAAGATTTATTTATTTGAGAGAGAGAGCACTCATACACAGGGGCCAGCAGGGGGAGGGACAGAGGGAGAAGGAGAGAATCTCAAGCAGACTCCCTGCTGAGTGTTGAGCCCAATGCCTGGCTCGATCTCATGATCCTGAGATCATGACCTGAGCAGAAATCAGGAGTCAGACACTTAACCTACTGAGCTACCCAGGCACCCAAATTTTTTTATTTTTAAGTATCTCTACACCCAACGTGGGGCTCTAATTCATGACCCCAAGATCAAGAGTCACATGCTCCACTGACTGAGCCAGCCAGGTGCCCAGAGAAGGTAATTTTTTTTTTTTTTTATATGTGGTGATGATTTTTTTTTTTTTAAAGAATTTATTTATTTATTTGACAGGGAGAGACACAGCGAGAGAGGGAACACAAGCAGGGGGAGCGGGAGAGGGAGAAGCAGGCCTCCCGCCGAGCAGGGAGCCTGATGCGGGGCTCGATCCCAGGACCCGGGATCATGACCCGAGCCCAAGGCAGACGCTTAATGACTGAGCCACCCAGGTGCCCCGAGAAGGTAATATTTTTATAAGGCCTTTGGCATCTTTATTTTGTATTACCAGCTTACTTTTCACTGTAAAACACTTCAACCAATCAGTGTTGGATAATTCTTATTTTGAAAGCACTGAATATGATCTGGACATACAGAAATTAATGGGTTTCATCAGGCTTTCTATTAATAGTTCAAAAAGCTCTAAAGAATTAAAATGGTTACAATTTTAATCACTTTAACATGAGGTTATTTTTTTCTTCAGGTTATTTTTGTTTGATAAGGGACTTTAAGAATAAGAAAACTGTTCTTAATCCTGTCATAACACTTTACCTATTTAGTTTTCTACATTCTTTTTTCAGTAATCGTCCACCAAAAGCAGTACGAAGTAAGGCTCACGCAAGGGCTGAGGACAGAGACACGGCAACACTGATGAAGCTCCATGGCATCCCCAGTTACACAATGGCCATGGTCAATCATAATGGTAGGAAAACTCTGAGGCAAAATCTTCAGATGACTGATTACTGATCATAAACAGGATTTAAAAATGCTCGACTTTAGAGTTCAGAGACTGAGCACTATTTACTTCAGAAAACACCCTTGCTCTTTGTAGTTTCCAGTTGATAGGGCTCACTCAACAAGCAGTTTCTAATAACAAGGGTGATACACTATACTCATGTGTAAGTAAATGTGTAAAGATAATCCTTAAGTGAGCAATGTCCAAAGTCATTAATAATTTTAAGTTTCTTCCATTTTCTTAATTTTTCATTTTTTCTATAATAAACATATAAATAAAATTTAATAACAAAACGTATACATGAAACACCTGGTTCTCTATACATGATCACTATGAATAGCAGTTAAGAGAGACAAAAATTTAGTCACATTGCAGATTCAAGGTTCTAATGAATGATGTTTGTGTATAAATAAAAAGAATAAAATATTGCTCATTATTTCTTCACTCTACTTACCTTATTCACTAGAAGATAGCAAAAGAGTACTGAATTCTCCTTTCCAAGAAGTTGAAACCATAGCAGTTGGGAAGGTTTTAACTCTTTTTGTAACCACACCTTCCCAGTTTCAGTGAGTTCTACTCCTGCCAGCTTAACCAGCAAAACACCACATGGCTCTTCTAAAAAGGTTAGGTAGAAAATTGTCTAGCTTTAATACCATGTTGCAAAAGCAAATTTCAAAGTCACATGTCCCCTCTCCCAAACAACTGAATATATTGTTTCTTTACAAACACCCAGACTCTCTAGATGTAGGTCCATTTATATCTGTATTCAAGTTTTCTTTTAAAGCAACCCAAGCATGTAACAGATGGAATAATGTAAAAAACCCATTTCAAAGTAAGCTCCAGAACAGGATGGAGAAGCCATTAATAATAATATGCATATATGGCAATTTACAGTGCTGTGTCACTGCATGACCTCCAGAAGCAGGTTCCTATTGACTAGCATCCCAGAGTCGTGTAGTGTACAGCCTGGACAAACCCAGGGAGTGACTTTGCTGCCTGAGCCCTGAAGAGTCATCACTATTTCAGAGAGAAGAGATTTAAATTATGACAACATAATTACAACAACTGAGAAGGTAGAGAATTTATGAAGTCTAAATCCTGCTTAGATTGAAATGCCCAGCAAATAAACATCCTAGGTAATCTCTCTTTAGGGAACAATAGTCATTCAAAGTGTTTAAGTTCTGTTTGATTTGTTAAAAGAATCAATCATGTCAGGTATGTCTGGGGAAAAAAAAATCAATCTGATTCCTTCACAGTCATATCTCGTTGAACAGTGATATTCATTCATTTGAGGGTAAAAAATAAGAACTCCTTTCTTTATAAAATTAAAACAATATTAAGAAGATCTTTAAATATAACTAAATTTATTCAACAAGTTTTAATTGGCTAACAATTATTTCCCTAGGGACTGTGAATAATGAGCTAGGTAGGAAAAGGTCCCTGCCCACCAGAGGCTCAGTTTAGTGGGAGGATACAAGCCTAAACACATGATTATAGGAAAATGTGTTTAAGTACTGTAACCGCAGTGTGTATAACTTGGTGTGGGTGTAGTAAAGAAAGAGGCTAATTCTGCTTGGGAGTTAAGGAAAGCTTCACAGAAGAGCTGACATTTGAGCTGGATACTAAAGAATTGGAGTTCAATAGGAGCAAGGCACTCTGGGGAAACTGTGCTCCAGGGCATGAGAACCCAAGTAAACAGCAGGCCGGAAGGTCTGTGTGGGTGGGGTCTTTGACACAAAGCAGGGAGACATGGGAATAGCAGCAGGAAACATCCAGCCCTTGCTCAGCTCTCCAGTCTCCTTTGGTGTCTCTTGTCCCCTTCTTCCGCACGCCACAGCACTCTACCAGTCTTCATATGGCTTGTCAAAGGAGCCAAGTTCATTCCCACACACCCTCTGCCTAGCCAGCCCTCTCTCATTCTTCAGGTCTCTGATTAAATAACAACTCATCAATGAGGCTTTCTCTGACCACTTTAGGGGTGTAGGTTCCCTGTTCACATGACTCCACTAATGCTCAAACTAGCACTTTGCTCTTTTTCTTCATAATTCTTAGGACAATCTTCATTTGTCTGTTGTCTATTTTCCACTTAGACTGTAAGCTCCAAAGGGCAGTCTTGTCTGTTTCCCTCAACACCATACAGCTAGTATAGGGCCTAGAACATAACAGTTGCTCAATATTTGTGGAAAGAATGCATGAGCGCCTGAATGAAATACTGAATGATTGAATAAAAGGAGGAAGGGGGGAAAAAAGGAAATCTGGAGCCAAATTAAATAGCTCCTGGTATTTAAAGCCAAGAGTTTATACTTTTCTCACAAAGTTATTAAAACTTAAAATGACATTTTTTGCTATTTTACAAATAACTTCTAATTAACAAATACTAAAATACTTGTATTAGTCTTGCACTTTACTTACTTTTCCATGAAGATATAATAGGTAAAGTGATAGGAATATGCTCAATTTCTAAACCATTCTCAGTTATTCGGTGTAATCGTCCACGTAGTTTAACATTCTTTCGTATAAATTCTACTGGAATATCTGAAGAACTTGTAAATTTTGATGTCTGTTGATTTATAAAAATATATATAACACTTAATTATTATTTTCATTTTAAAATTAAGTATGTCAAATTGTCATCTAAACATTTAACAAGAAGACATAACCACTGAAAAATTTTAATTTGGTCCTTAATTTTAGATTAATATTTAACTATGATTTAATCAAAGTGTTTATAGGAGGGGGGCACCTGGCTGGCTCTGTTGGTGGAGCATGCAACTCTTGACCTTGGGGTTGTGGGTTTGAGCCCCACATTGGGTGTGGAGATTACTTTAAAAAAAATCTTTCAGGGAAAAAAAAAGTATGAATACTAAGAGTGAGAGTTAGTATTTTAAAAGATCCTGACAACTAGGATGATGGGATAAAATATAAAATTCTTCGCCTGTACTCCCCAAAACTAATGTAGGATAGAAGAGAATAAACTAATTGTAGCACATATGAAAAAGATTAAGAACTTTTAGTTCATTGTGAACTCAAAATGAAATGAAAGTGTGACAAGTCTATAAAAAAAAAAGTACAAACTCCCTCTCCTCTTGACTCCCCACTGCTCCCCACCAAAGTTCAAACACCAAGCAACGTTGTAAGGAACAGGATCCAAAACAAGAGAAGTGAGGAAGAGATTGCTCTAAATCAGGCCCTAATAGAATATACTGTGCTTCCCTGGGTATCACATTTCATAAAAGATTTCAACAAACTGGAACAAAGCTAGAAGAGGAGAAAAAAGATGATAAAGAGCCTGGAAACCACACCACATGAGAAAACCAAGAATATTTCGTACAGGAGAGATGAGACTTAGAAGAAGTAGAGAGGGTCACTAATGATGTCTTCAATTACTAAACATCTATCCCTTTTTAATTTTTAGGTGTTTCATTGACAGATATACATAAAAAGACCTAAGAGTGCCTTGATGTTTGGAGTTTTAGAAATTATTAAGGAGCTAGGGGACGAAACTGTCTATAGAATCCATGTTCATACTCTCAAGGAACTCACAGTCTATGTGAAGAACCTTTAAAGGCAGATCCCACTGCATCTACCTTTCCTGCATCCAATAATCCCTCAACAGCAGAAAGTTCGGTGCTGTGTTTCTGTCATATAACAGGCACTATCTGGAAGATGAACTAAGAATATACATAAAACCAGAATACAGCAGCAGAGCAATACATAAATAGGTTTAAGATAAAGTATAAGCAGGTGCCTGGGTGGCTCAGTCAGTTGGGTGTCTGCCTTTGGCTTGGGTCATGATCCCAGGGGCCTGCGATCGAGCTCCACGTCAGGCTCTCTGCTCAGTAGGGAGCCTGCTTCTCCCTCTCCCTCTGCCTGACGCTACCCGCTTGTGCTCTCTCTCTGTCAAATAAATAAAATCTTAAAAATATATATATAAAGTATAAGTGCTAAAGGGCTTGGGTTCCTGGGTGGCTCAGTTGGTTAAGCATCTGACTCTTGATTTCAGCTCAGGTCATGATCTCAGGGTCATGAGATTGAACTCCTGCTTAAGATTCTCTCTCCCACTCCCACTCCCTCTGCCCCTGCCCATGTTCCCTCTCTCTCAAATAAGTAAATAAAGTCATAAATGCTAAAGGGTCAAAAATTGAAAGAATAAGAACATTTGAGGAAGGTATCTTTAAAGGAAGTGAATTCTGAGCTTGTGATAAACATCCTGCTCTCTAGAAGAGGCAGAAAGATGATGCCACTAACAAGAACATTATCCCTAAGCTTCAGATGGTGAAGGAAATGTCCTAAAGGCAAACAGACAAAAGCTGGAAGCACTGTGAAGAGAAAATAATAAGGGTTTCAAATTCAGGAAGATGAAATTTGAAATCCAGTTCTGCCACATATTAGCTGGATGATCTTGTGAAAATTACTTAACTTCTTCAAGCATCCATCTCCTCATCTATAAAAATTAGGTATAAGAACACCTGTTTTGGGGCACCTGGATGGTTTAGTTGGTTGAGCATCTGACTCTTGATTTTGACTCAGGTCATGATCTCAGGGTCATGGGATCAAGCCCCGAGTCAGGCTCTGTGCTCAGTGGGGAGTCTGCTTGAGATTCTCTCTCTCTGCCTCTCTCCCCACTCCCTAAATAAATAAACAAACAAACAAATAAATAAAATCTTTTTTAAAAAAATAGAACACCTGTTTCGTAGGATTATTTTAAGTATTAAATGAAATTATGTATATCAAGTGTTTAGCACAGTACTGAACTCAATCATTTTTTTTTAATATGAAATTTGGACTTTTCTACCAGTAATTGAAAGAATATGAGAGATTGGTAAACTCAGGAGGAGGAAAAAGGGGAGAAAAACAGCAATACAAAAAGAAAGATGAAGGGGAGCTGTGAAGGCTCCTTGTGCCAGGTCCTTGGTTGGTTAATGCAATATCCATTCCCAAGCCTCTCTCCCTTGTCATCATGTACTTTAAGGGATGGAAAAGCTAAATGGCCACTTTCCCAACCTCCTTTCCACTTAGAGGTGGCCATATGATAAAAGGATGTAAGGAAAAATATACTGAAGGCTTTTGGTAAAACTTTTGCTTTCTTGATAAAAGGAAAAGATGTGGCTGGCACCTTCCTTTTCCCTCTCCTCCTGCTTTGAACATCAATACACTATTTGGAGCTAGAGCAGCCATTCTGTGCCATGAGGAAAGGCACAGAGAATCATACAGACCTAAACTCTCTGTCACTGAGCCAGAGAAGCAATGCCAGCAGCATCCTACCTCCAGAAGTCTGATGACATGAGAAAAAAAGCCTTTTAACTTGGTTAAGCCATGGTTGCATGGGGTTTCTCTTACTTGTAGCCAAAGTTCTCCAACTGTTAAACAATAGAATTTTTTGTCCCCTAATGTCCCAATGTTCTTTTTCCACCTCCTTAGTTTGTTCTTCTCATCACTAGTCACTATTTTCAAAAACCATAAAATGTAAGAAAAAAAAGACACCAGAACTATAGTCTAAGATAAATAACTTCATAACATACTAATATAAATTTATATTAACGAATAATTTGCATAAATCAATAACATACCTAATATTGTATAACTTAAAATGATCTATAATTGATTTATGTAATTTTTTTTTAAGATTTTATTTATTTATTTGACAGAGAGAGACACAGCGAGAGAAGGAACACAAGCAGGGGGAGTGAGAAAGGGAGAAGCAGGCTTCCTGCTGAGCAGGGAGCCGGATGCGGGGCTCGATCCCAGGACCCTGGGACCATGACCTGAGCCAAAGGCAGACACTTAACGACTGAGCCACCCAGGCACCCCGATTTATGTAATTTTTAAGGGCTAACAAGAGAAATAATCCCTTAGTATTATTTTTACCTGAATTCTTTTTTTTCAAGATTTTATTTATTTGTTTGAGAGAGAGAGAGAGAGAGCTAGTGAGAGAGAGAGAGCACAAGTGGGGTGAGGGGCAGAGGGAGAAAGAAACTCCTCACTGAGCAGGGAGCCCGATGTGGGGCTCGATCCCAGGACCCTGGGATCATGGCCTGAACCGAAGGCAGACGCTTAACCGACTGAGCCACCCAAGCGCCCCTTATTTTTACCTAAATTCTTAATCAGATCATTTAGTATTTTGACAATTTTGAAACCTTCAAAATACAAATGTCATAGAACATAGATTGTAAGATAAAGAAAAAAGTGGAATAAAAAGTGCTAAAGTTTCAAAAGTTCCATTCTAAAAATATATATATAAGCTAAACGTGAATGATTTACAAAATCATGGAGGTGTTAAAAGAAAAAAACCTATTAGATTATTAAATATAAGGTTAAAAATGAGTTCAAGGCACTTAATAAAAAAAGGGGGGATAAAAGTTCTGACACTGGAGTCGGAAAAGGCAACAGTTAGAAAAGATGTACTATAGTATGGTAACACTACGTAGTCAATGATAATATAAAACAATATAGAGATAATAAATGTAGGACATTAATATACACAGAAGCAATAAATCCATACCAGGTTGTAACATGATACTACAATTACACCCAGTGACAAGAATCAATTACATAAACAACACTTATAAATCTTGAATTGTCAGACAGATTCCACAATATCTATTATTAACATTATTGAAAGGGCAAAAAATATGCTAACTGAAAGCATAAGTTATTTTTTTACATCATACTTCTTGCTTTATTCATTAAATAGATCTTACAGATAATTGCAAATCAAAGAAAGTATAAATTATTCAGTGCTAAAGGATATAATTCGACTGTAATCTAAACCTAAAACCACTATACAAAACAGTTTTGAGACATGCCACAATGTCGGAAATGCCAATTTAGTGATTATCGCATTCTAGCCAACTAAATCCTTTACAGATGCCTTTTTAAGCACAAAGAAAAGTGATTATGGAAATACAGACTGGGTAATCACTTTCCTGTGGATGTGTTGATTTTAAACCAAGATCTTAAAATAGGTTTGTTGTTCTAGAATAATATTTAAAACTTCTAATATGAATAACAAAATGATACACTGCTTGAAAGAAAAACAGTCTTGAAGTGAGAAAAAATTAACTGTCTCTTGCTTTTCATTGTGCCTTCTTCATTTTTCAACTTACCATCCGAACACTTCTTAGAAGTAACATTGTTCCAGCTATGGCCATTACGGTGCTGATGTTCTTCAGAAAGAGATTAAATGATTAATTCTCACTAGTTATTATTCATGATAGTTAAAGTACTAACTGGAAGGGGAAAAAAAAGACTGACCTCCCTGAGTGTCCAAATAAGGCACATCCTTCAACTAAAGGCCCATTTCTCCCAACAAACTTTAACTGCCTACCGCTTCATTAATCTTCCCTCTTTTCTCCCAATCTGGCATGCACAGTAATTATATATGTAACATTGTATTGTTCTCTATTGACTGTTCCTTTTAACCATGAATTCCTTAAATGCATGAATTGGTTTAATACTTCTTCAACAATGCCCACAGTAACTTGCATAACCCTGAGTCTACAGTGGGAATGTAAATATTTGGTAGAAAACTTTACCATCAAAACCTTAAAATATAATGGATGTATATGTGGGTAAACAGTTGGGGAGAACTTATCAATGTTTTTTTTTTTTTTTAAAGATTTTATTTATTTATTTGAGACAGAATGAGAGAGAGAGAGAGCACATGAGAGGGGGGAGGGTCAGAGGGAGAAGCAGGCTCCCTGCCAAGCAGGGAGCCCGATGCGGGACTCGATCCAGACACTCCAGGATCATGACCTGAGCCGAAGGCAGCCGCTTAACCAACTGAGCCACCCAGGCGCCCCATTATCAATGTTTTTAAAGTGCTTCATTTAAACTGGAATAGATTGGGACAGCTCAGGTCCTGATCCCAGGGTCCTGGGATCCAGCCCCACATCGGGCTCTCTGCTCAGCGGGGAGCCTGCTTCTCCCTCTCCCTGCTGTTCCCCGTGCTTGTGCTCTCTCTCTCCCTGTCAAATAAATAAATAAAATAAAATAAAAAAAAACTGAAATAGACTTAAAAGAGTTTAATTTAAAAATAAGAACCTGCGACTCCCTCAATAAGAGTGATAATTTAACATGCTTTCCTTCAATAAATACAACTAGGTATGTAAGAAATGAAGCTGAAAATATAAACAAGGAAAGAAATGAAGATGCTAAGATTGCTCTTAGTGTTCAAGTGAAGCCACTTAGATCCAACTCTGATCTTGCTCTAAACATCAGGCAAACATAAAACAAGGCAGTGAAAATTTTATAATTACCAACACATAATGCCTTTTGTTTGTTCTGTGGATTTCCCATTTGTAGAAAAAAAAAGGAAATATACACAAGGATACATCCTGTGATTGGGATATTTGGAATAATGTATCCATGTGCCAATTTATTCTATTTTTTAAAAATTTTTAAAAAATATTTTTATTTGATAGAAAGAGAGAGCACAAGTAGGCAGAGCAGCAGGACCCTGGGATCAAGACCTGAGCAGAAGGTAGACGCTTAACCGACTGAGCCACCCAGGCATCCCTCCATGTACCAATTTAAACACCGTTTCCTCTCTCAATCTACTGAAGTCATTTTTTTAATTTGAAATAAGCCATGCACCAATTTCTGCTTCACTGGAAGAACCCAGGCCTTGTCAAATAACACGTGTGTATCTACCATTCATTAATGCCACCAGTGCATATCTAGCCCTTGCTAAGTGGTAGGCAATATTCTAGGGATAAGAGCTGTACTGGTGAAGGAAACAGCAGGATCCCAGGCCTTGTGGTGCATGGCTGCAGAGCATTTGCAAAGCTCATGGTCGTACTCAACTTCTCAGAAGAATTTAACAAAGTTAATCATTCTCTCTGAAAATATTCTCTTCACTTGGCTTCTAGGACACCTGGTTTTCCTGATTTTCCTCCTCCTCCTTCCCTGTTTCTTCCCAGTCTTTGCTGACTTTTCATTTCCCAAATTCATGTTAAGAGAATCCCTCAGGTCCCAGGTCTCAATTCTAGGACTTCTTCAGTAACTTTTCTGACTTGTTCCATGATGCCATCCAAGCTTTAAACACTACTGGAGCTTTATGCAGTTCACTCCTGAAGTTCTATGTCCAGTTACAATCTCCCTTCAAGGTCAGATTCCTATATCTGGTTGACTAGATAACATCTACAACTCTCTTTAGAATTTTAGTGACCATCTTCAAGTTCCCATGTCCAAAGAGTCCTCTAGATTTTCCCAACAAATCGCTGACCCCTAACTCCTCCACAGAAGCAACTTTGACCACCATCCACCCAGTGGGCAGCCCCCTTGACTCCTCTTTCTTTGCACCCCACCCCAAATCAACCACACCACCCCCGGGGGATTAGCCACAATCTTGTCTCGCCTGGTCACCTAAGATGTCCCACTCTTGGTCGAACTCCAGTGCTCTCTCACTTCATTCAAAACATAAGGCCTACAAAAAAAAAAAAAAAAAAAGGGTCCCTGACCACG